GCTCAGTACTTTCCCAAACAAATTTGAAACCACTTGGGATATTTATCTGAGTGATCCCTGTATTGTACAGATTGTACCCTTGAAAAGGGTTTCAGGAGCCCTTTGGCTTTGGTCCGGCCGTGGCAGCTGTGCCCTTTCCGGCTGCAGCTGTGTTGATTTTCGTTGAGGTTTGTAGTCATTCGTATTGATGCAATCCTGTATTCCTGCAATCCTGGGCAGACTTGCAGGAGCTTCCAAGTGTTGGAGAGTCAGGAAACCTGCTCCCAGGCAGCGGCTTCTTTGGGCTCCAGTGTGTCACCGGAGTGCAGTGACTGCTGCTCGTCTATTTAGTTGGTGTTCAGGTCTGGCATATGTTTAAGAACGTATCGTACTCTAGGAGTTTTCAAAGGGGATCTTATTTCTTGTGTTATCCTAGATTGTACTGCCGTGATGTCTCTGCTCTTCCATTAAGAGGGTTCTCTAACTTTCCCTTGAGCTACATTCGAAAGAGATTTAAACTTTACTGAGGGATTTTTCTTGGCGCTCATTGCAGGTGGCGAGTGCATATTTTCTTTCTTGTACATCTGCTTGGAAGTAATTGGGATTTAGGGGAGTGCAGGGAGGCATATATTGCAGATAAGCCTGGTGTTAATAGGAGTTACTGCAATTATGTGTTGACTTTGCCGCATCTTAATAGCGGCAGCACTGCAGCAGCCCAAGGATTGGTGACTAATACTTTATACAACTGCCTGGTTATGGGCTTTTATAGTCCTAATCAATAAGATATTGCAGTGCATCTGGTCTCCAAAATGATAATTTACATCCCTCAGCTAACAGTTAACAAATGTTTCTTGTGTTTGTTCCCTTTTTTTTGGAGTCTCTTGCAGAAATGATTTTGTGCTGTTCTGGATGGGGCTGTTCTACTTCTTGCAGACAGATACTGACCTCTGTCCCTCTCGGGGGCCTCGTGTTTGGAGACAGATGGTGTGTCACTTGGAGGGCAGGTGAAGGCGAGCGGAGCTCATGCTCCGTTTCGCGTCGCTTTTGGCTCAGCCTCATAGCTCTGCGGCTGCAGGACCCCCTGAGCACGGAGCGCGGGGCGGCTTGTGTTGCCTTCGAGAGCTGTGTGGAAGCCCGCATCTCCTTTTGACTGTTTCATTCATCCCCCAGATATCTACAGAAACAGGGGCTTCCGTGTCACACTCCGTCCCCTGTCTCTGTCCTGTGGAAGTTGTGAAGAATGTGGATTTCATCTTTCATTGTAGGGCATCCTTGGCTGCTGCTTGTTTAACCTGTCATCAGCAGAAATCACTAACATGATCTTAAGCATTATCAACTTTGGATGCTTTTTGGGGCAGAACTGGCCATTCCTTAACCTCTTTTCCTTGTGGATCTGTTGGTGCCAACTGAGAAGCGTAAAAGCAGCTTGAGAGGCAATTGATTTATTAAGTGGTGTATTCTGCATGTGTTCGCAAAAGTTACTCTGAGATTTCTCCCTGTGGGCCAAAAACAATGTTCCAGCCAGCCCAGGTACCCCAGTTTTTTACTTTAGTAGTAAGACTGATTAAAAATAGCCTGCAGCATCTTGGATAGGCTGCAGCACCGTCTTTTGTCGTCCTTTGGTTTCCTTGTGCTTTGCTTCAGTGTGTTCGGGAGGCTTCTTCACGCCGGGCAGAACGGAGCCTCTTCGCTGGTTCCAGCAAGCCCTGGGTCCCAGTGCTCCATCCTGCTGAACGGATCTCCCCAAGCAGAGCACAGGGGTGATAACGGGGAGCGCTTTGGGTGCTCTGTTAGGAAAAATGCACAGAGGAGCCTGTTTTACCTGGTGGAGAATGATGCTTTGGTACTACCCTCCTTATCAGCAGCCTTTACTTAGTGATGAGGCTGTACCCGAGCTGCTCTGGAGGCCTGGGGTAAATAAATAATGCAGTGATTTAGTGATGTCTGAAGGTAGCTCGTGGACGTGGGCAAAGGAGGAGCTCTGCTTTCATTTCTCTTTTATGTCTCCAGTAAGGGGAGAAAAAAAAAAAAAAGGGGCAGCAGACCCTTAACTTACTGTGTCTCTTCAGCTGCATTTGCAGAAATAAGAGCAAGACTCAGGCTGCTGATGGGCAGCACAAATGAAATCATGACTTGCTTTCCATGCACGCTTTTCACATATTTGCCCGTGGTCCTCTTGTAAAAGACTTAAACCACAAATCTCCAGCAAAGGAAGCGATACAAATAGGGGAAGAGGGTCTCGGTGAAGATGAGGTGCTGCAGGGTGCTGTTGTGCTTCTCTTCAGTCTAACCCGCTCCCAGTCTGCTGATATTTAGAGGAGCAGCTGGGGAAGAAGAGGATCTGTTGCTCACAGGAAAGAGAGCATTTGAAACCTACTTCAAGTGTTTGCTTTCTGTTGAACTGTGCTTAGATTAAACCAGGCTTGCCTTTCTCTTTAAGGATAGCTTGTGTTGCTCTGGAAACTATTTTTTCTTGTATAAAAATTTGCCTCTCATAGTATTAGAAAAATTCAGAAAGATATTTTGGAGCTTTTGTCATTTCCCTTCTGGTCCCTTTTTCCCCCAGACCAGGTGCCAGGAAGGGTGACCCGATACTAGACTTGCTTCCAGTAGCATCCCATGCCTTTTCACCAGGACATCTGCACCCGCAGTCATCCGGAAGGAGGTTGGGATGAATCGCAGGGGTGTTTCTGCTGTGTCAGAGCATCGCTGGGGAGCACAAACCAGGGCATCCGCTTCAGCGCCACACGGAAACTCTCCTTGGGTTTCAAGTTGGGGCTGGCGAGTGAGAGCTGCCTCCTGCTCTCCGTAGGAAGCGCCTCGGGAGCATTTGATGGGGAGAGGATCGACGGCCTCTAAGGAGGCTGAGGGGTGGCGGTAACGGCCGGGCAGCGCGGCGGGGTCGGTCAGCGTGTCCTCACGGCCGCCCCGGTGCACGTCGCCCTGTCGAGTGAAATCCCTCGCGCTGCCTCCCTGTTACAGCGCAGAGATGGGTTTTCTCGCTTACGGATTAACCAGGAGTCTTAACTGAAATGTCACATCCGATTTGGAGCCCGACGCGTGAAGGACGCGGCTGCCCGTGGCCGCCCCCCAGCTCCGCTCCGTGTGCCCCGGCAGGCGGCTCTGCGGCTCCCTCCCGTCGGGGCGCGCGGTGCTCCCACAAACCCTGCGGCCGCGCGAGCACCCGCGACGGAGCCGCGCGCCGCCTTGTCCCCCGAGGGCTCCACCGGTAGCACCTTGTTGCGCCAGCGGCTTCATTCTCATCTTTTTTTAATATCTCTTAATGGCTTTATCTTCCAAGAACGTGTCCAGTTGCTCTTTGGATTTATAAGCATTAGCCTTGACAACATCCTATGGCAGTGTTTTTGAAGGGAATGAGTGTTGCCTGAAAAAGCGCTTCCTTTTTTATGTAATTTGACTGATAACATTATTTCAGGCCCTCAGGTTCCTGTCTTATGGGTGAGATGGTGAAAGATTGTTCCTTCTGCACCTCTTCCGGGCTGTTCACGCTTTTACAGGCTTCTCTCATCTATCTCTCCTTTGTGATTTCTAGGTTGAGGAATCCTAGTAGGGATCTTCATATAGAAACCGCTCTTTTATTCATTCTCTTTGCTCTCCTCTTTCTTTTCAAAATCTTCCAATTTTTGCTCTCCAAGGATCAGAACTATGCTCCTTATTTCGGGATACATGCGGCCACAGGCTGTTGGTTGGGTGAGCATCCTTTTAGTGTTATTTCGTAGTAGCTGTGAACACTGTTTGCCTTTCTGACCACTGAGCTCCTGCTTCTGTGACCCTCAAAGCTTAATACCCTTTTTCACCCCTGTCGTGGGTCCTCATTCCTCTACCCTCAGTGGAGAGGGTGCAATACTTCTAAAGTGTAGCCACAGCTAAGGCTCTTCCGGGCTTCACTTATATTTTTATGTGCTGAGCTGTTTGCTACAGAAAAGTGGTTCTCTACCCATTGGAAACATTGCTGTTTTTTATGGCAGTGTAAACTCATCTCTGGGCACGAATTCTCCCTGTTGCAGACTCTGGGGAGCAGGGAGGTACAGGCTGTGTGGGCTTGAAGGCTGAATCTCTACTCGCCAAGGCCTGGGTGCTGAAGAGCCCGTCTCGGCTGCAGGGCCCAAGCCAGGAGGTGTCCCAGGAGGGCCTCACAACGCACACAAGCTCTCTACCCCGCTCCGTTTGCTTGCTGGCCAGTTTGCCACCTCTTGACCAACTGTAGAAGCCCAGACTTTGAGCGTGCTGCTTGCAGGGGCTCGGAGTGCAGCAGGTTTGGGCGAGGTGGCTCCGGAAGGGCGAGCTGCTCCGTACGGCACTCGTGCAGGGCTGCAGAGGTCCCTTCCCGCGATGCGGAGCCAGGGTCTGTTCCCCAGGTCTCTTGGAGGGGATCTCTTCCCCAGAATCAATGCCCTTGTGCTGTGTTTGGCTGTGGGGTTTGAGGTGTCCGTGCAGCACACGTGCTCTCCCCTTGTGCTGCTCTGCAGCAGCCAGCTCAAGTCCCTCTTGAGGCAGGCTTGGTGCAGGATTCCTTGCAGCTGCTGTGGAATTGCAAACCGAAGACCACCTGAACACATCCCCAAAATCTCCCTGTAACCTTGGGGAATAAACCTTCTCCAGAGCTGTCTGAGGCATCTTCCTGTCACATGCAGGGCGCTCTCAGGATACAATCAACATTCCAACTTTTGGAATTGCTAATCCAGTTAAAAGCTGTAAATATTTCTTCTGTTGTTTATGCTTTGTGTTTCTTGTGCTTTCTAGCATCACATGTGCTGAGCAAAGATTGCCCTTTACTTTCTTCCAGGTGAAGATATCCATACAAGCCTTTACGGAGCAGCCGTGGATGTCAACATCAGTCTGGACAAGAACTCCCTGCACCTTGAGAAAACCTACCTCACGCTGGCAAGCCACAGAGCTGTGCTCATTCACAACCGGAGCGAAATCATCGCCCACTTCCAGTGGAAGGCTTTCGCTACGCGGGAAGAGGAGCAGCAGCAGAAAATGAGGTTCATTTGAAGATTCATTTTGGTTTCTACCCCTGCCCTGGGTAGAACTAATGTACAGCCTCGAAGGGATGCTTGTGTTCTTGGGTGGTTTTGGATTAATAACCTATGAGTCTACCCAGTCAAGCTTCAGGGTGTAAGATGCTGAACTTCAGGGTGATGTAGGATGTCCTACGCTCTCCACATTTCCAGCTTTTGTGGAATTTCTGCCTTTCCTTAGAGTCAGGAGAGGACTCAGAGGTGGAGGAGCTTGGGGGAGGTAGGACAGCACAAGACTGGGAGGATATTTGGGCTCCAGCTCCCTGGGTCCTCACGGCAGTGAGAGGAGCTAATGTAGCCATGGGGCAGCTAGAGGTAGCAATAATGTGAGGGCCAAGGGCTGGGACAGATTCTTTTTAGAGGCTATTCTTCAGCAAAGCTTTGAAACTTCCATTTTGGGTATCAAAGACGCACTTGTAGCTTAGGGGTGAATTGGGAATTGCATTTAAAGGCTTGGATGGGTTAGAGAATTCTTATGTGACTTCACCAACTTGGTTGAATGCAGAGTTTATAGAAGTAATTGGCTGTGGGTTCAGTGCATCAGGAAGCTGTCTTAAACTGGAGCACTTTTTAAGGGTTTCTGAGCAAATAAAGTTCAACATAATTAGGTCAGTGATGCCTTGAAGGCCAAAACTAGTTTTCCACTGTTCTCTATTTTTAATTACACAGTGTGACTTCTGTGCAAGCGCAGAGTGTTAGAGGAAAATCTCATGACCTTTTCCTGGTAATTCCCTGAACCCCATTCATGTCTCTTCCTTCCTGCCTATCTCACTGGGCCCCAAGTGATCCCCTTTCCCCGCTCAGAAGCAGCCAAGTTTCTCCATAGTGGATTTGCACCTTATTTTTCTTTCTTAATACATTTGGTCTCATGTTAGTTTCTACGCCAGATTCTGCTGCTTTGTCTTGCCAGTGGCTGGCCCAATCTCAGAGGGGGCTTCCACAGCAAAGTTCTTGTGAAGAATCCGTGGGTCGATGGATGGGATAGAGGCATCCGTAAGCACACGTGCAGTTGGACTGGGCACACGGTCATACGTGCTCAGACGTCCAACTCCTTGTCTTGAGCTCAGCGGGCACCCTAGGTTGAGCTGTGAACCTTGGCTGATCTACCATGGGGTCTTCTGGGTGTCCTGCAGGATGTTCTGGGCTGCCGTGGTGGAATTCCTGCCTCTGGGTGGAGGTTGGGGTCCGGGCTGCTGCTCTCGGTGCCTGCAGCCGCGCTCCTGCCCAGCGCGGCAGGTCGGCCGCGCGGAGCCCGGCGGGCAGCTCGCCGGGGCGGGGGTTTTGGCACCGGTGACAGCGCTTGCCTGGGGCTGCCCGCGCGCCGCGGCTCTGCTTCCTCTCTAATTGCATTTGAATTTAGCTGGGTGACAATTGCTGTCCTCTGTTTATACTGCATTGCCTCAGTCTGCTACATATGGAGCCCTCCCTGTGTTCCCCCGGAATTGGCACCTGCTGATTTTTCATAGCCCGAGGGCTGGTGCGTGCCGGGGGACAGCAATGCTCCAGCTAGGAAGAGACTGCCTGGTAGAAGCCCTCCCTGTCTTTTGGTTCCAATGTCTAAACGCCAGCAAACGCTTTCTGCTCTCACTGCCAACTAAAGGAGAGAGGAACCGAGTTGAGGTCTCTAGAGAAGGTGAAAAAACAAGGTCAGGTTGCTCAAGGATGGACCCAAGAGATGGGACTCGGATGTGCTTGTGCTGCCTTCCTTTTTCTTGGGCGATGCAGGGCAGGGACTTTCTCTGTTTTTATTCTTCTGAAACTATCCAATTTCCCAGAGGTGAAGTGATGGCGAAATTCATTAGCTGCCTTGTGAAGTGCTCTGGGATCCCTGGGGGAGAGGCACTTACTGGGGCAGAAAGCAGATGTTGTGTCCTGGTCCCTGCAGGTTCAAAGGGAGAAAGGGAGCCCTGTACAGTCAATGGCAGATGACATCCTGCCTCTTCTCTCCTCCCCGATGAGCGCTGCAGGAGCTGCCCATCAGCAAAACTTGATCTTCCTCTTAGCTGGCTCCCAGTGTGACCCCATGGGTAGGACATCAGGGGACGTCAGGTGAGGTGGTCACTGGCCTCAGTGAGCTGTAGCGGAGCCAGGAGGAACTTCCCTGCTCTTTTGGGGGTTTCCAGCTTTCCAAAAACCTCTTCTCAGCTTGTGAGCATGAACTGAAATGACTTGTTGTGCCCGTGAACAGCCACCACCGACCCGGTTCATTCGGGCCCCCTTGGCTCTGGGTGCTGCTGTGCCCGCCGCTCCCTGTGCGCGTGGCAGCCCCCGCGCTCGCACGCAGCCTCTGCAAAGATGGTGCTTATTAAATTATCTGCTTGGTTTGTCTCCCCGTGGCCTCAGGCTGTGTCACAGACTGCAGAGCCAGGAGGAGGGCCAGGCGGATCGCTTCCTTGAGGAATGCAGCGTGGACCCCACTCTCCGGGAGCGCCTCTCCCTTCTCTCCCGCACCTTCCAGAACCACCGGGCGAAGGTGAAGGGAGATGCCATGCTCTTCTCCGATGACATCTTCAGCATTGAGCCCGTGGTAAGCGATAGCTGAGAGCCCCCTTCCCTCCTCCTCCTCCTCCTGCCTGAATGAGGTCACTTGGCAGATCCCCACATCAGCTGGTTTGATGCGCTGAGAGTGAACGTCAGGTTCCCAGCGAGGCCGGGAGAGCTCGTTGCAAAAAGCATTTCTGAACTGGGAACTCCCAACAGGCAGCGGGAATCTGCCTAAAGCAGAGCTGCTGCGAGAGCTCTACGTGTGCTGCTGGTGGGCAGCGTGTGCTCGTGGTGGAGCGCGGCGCTGCAGCCGCCGGAGCTGGGCTCTGCTTTGCCCAGGGTGTTCTCAGGTAAACCACTTTGGCTCACGGCATTTCACTCTCCCTGCTTTAAAATGAAGATGAGAGTAATTACTCTTTTGGCCCTTGTGACTTAGAAGATCTCTGTGAAAGCAAGGTAGCAGCATTAGGCCACTTGTGGCTAGTTATTTTCTGAGTTTGAACTCCCTTCATTCGTGCACTCGCATGAACTTTGTTTGGAGTTTGCATTGTCCAAAGATGCAGTGGTTTGGGCACGCCTTACATGGGAACATGAACAAAAGAGATTAGAGCTCTGTCATTTCAAGTAGTGGCTCCAAGGTAAAGTGGTCCTTTGACGTGGTGGCCAAATTCAGTGTGGGTTCAGTCACGGAAATACAAGTTGTTTCACATAACCTGGACTCATGTGTCATCTGTAAGCCTGGACACAAGCCTGGCAGGTCTAAATAGGTTTTTTTGACTTGTGTTGTGTTTGTTTATGGGAAAAAAATGTGCTTTTCTGTTGATACCCACAAAGCTCACATCATTCAGTTACGCAGAGCTCTGATTCTGCACATTTTACATGTTCTGAGACAAGCAACACCTGCTGCCTGAGCCATACGGAACCTCTTCTCTGCTTTGGGGTAAACCCTAGAATAAAGTCCAACCTGTTTCTTCTAAAATAGGTGGAACTAAGTCTTTTCGAGCATGCGGGGCAGTCAGTCATGTTTCCATCCTGTGTGGTCTTACCAAGTTTCCAGCTTTTCAGCTGCTGTCACTGAAGGCAGTGGATACTCTCTGCCTTCTGTTTGTCACCTGTGACCTGAGAGCACCGTATAGAAATGAGCCCTTCTAACAAGCAGCTGCAGGCAGGATGTCTTGATGGTAACTAAGTCAGAAAAAAATATCCAAGCAAACTGCTTCCAGAGGTTAGGAAGCTGATGGAGCATGGTAGTCCTGGAAACTTCCCTGGACTTGGTGGCTTTGCAGGGTTTGGACAAAAGCTCTGCAGGGGACATGGGCCACTGGATGTGACCAGGGGATCTATCAGTGGTTTTGGGTGTTGCTGTCTGCAGAAGGTGCACTTGAGCCTGCAAAGGGTTAACTTGCTGATGAAAATAATAATAAAAAAAGGCGAAAAGACAGTGATTTCAGAGCTACCACGTGACCATAAACACTGAGCAGCCTTCCAAGCCTGTGGGAAACGGGCTGTTATGCAACTCTGACTTTCTGAGTGCATCTCAGATTTGGTTTAATTTATTTTTGTGGGTAAACACGCTCTGTCAGCAGCAGCGGCTGCGATGGAAGCCCAGGTGGCTCCCACAGGACAAGGTCTCTGCTTTTCTGCTGCGTCCCTCACAGCGCAGCTCCCTTGGGAATCACGTTGCAAACACTGGGCGCTGACTGCTTGGAAATGGACACCAGGAAGAGGAAAGGGAGGACAAGGATTTGCTACCATTGCACTGTCCTTGGCAAGTCCCCAGTGTCCTGTCGTTGGCTTGTGGTGATTCCAAAGTGTCGGGTGTTAACTCGGAGCTGATGGAGGTGGCCCTTGGGATTTCCAGGTTGTGAAATGGCCCCTATTCCCAGAGGCTCCACTGTGCTTTGGAAAATCTCCTCATCTGGAGCACCCAGTGATATGCTTCTGGATGCTCATCCAAACAAGAGGTTACTAGAGAGCACTTCGGTTCTTGGCAGAAGCCGCCATCTCCGTGGGGAGCCACGGACCATCCCACAGCTCAGCGTGGCTTCAGTTATTTAGGGAAGGAGGCAGCTGTTGGCTTTGGCACTGCCTTTCCCATGATAAGTGTCCCGAGCTAGCAGGCCCTGCTTTGGGCTTCATTTCTGGGCTGCCGGTGCCAGCTTTGTCTTTGCATTATTCCTGCTTTGACTTCCTTTCTCCGGATCCCCTTCTCCTGCAAAAGGGAGAGCGGGGGATGTGGCCGGCGAGTGGTGCCGCCTGATTTCTCACGAGCACCAGGGGAGCTGGTGGGCGTTCAGAGCAGAGAGAGGGCACGGCGGGTGCACGGGTATCCCAGCGCGGCCTCTTGCATCCCGTCGGGATCGCAGCGAGCGCCCGCAGCCGCCCGGCGCGTGGCCGGCGTCGCTGCCTGTCCTACAGCCCCTGTGGCCCCTCGGAGGCCGGCG